ACAAAAAAAAAAAAAAAAAAAAAAAACCGAAATCATTTACTTTTGTGAAAAACAGAGAGAGAGAGCTCAAAGTAACATTTTTTTTTCTTGGAAACTAAACAAGTTTCTCTAATTTTTGAATTTAAGAAGGAATGAAGGAAAATTTACCTTTGAGTAATAAATAAAGAGACTTTTATTTCCTGGGAATACTTGATTTTCTCGTTAACCAAACAAGCTAGTACTACTAGAGTTGAATTTCCATGTTGTGTTTCGGGAGCTCACTGCCAGAGCAAACCTAACCATTTTTTACAGTAAATCGAGATTTATATCGAACACGAAATATTTCGATTTTGAATAATTTAATATTCGGTTAGAAATACTTGTAAGGCCCAATTTAATTTATCGGCCCAAATATTTTTTTTTTTAATCCCACAGAAAAGAGTCCGTCATCAATGTGTCCATTTAATTGGTTCAATTCTATGCCCCGTCCTAAAAACTTCGTACACTTCTCCGGGAACCAAAACTCAAGTGTATTGTGGATTCTAGCTGTATATTTTGTCTATCTTTTTCATATTTTAATATTTAGTTTTTTTTTAATTCATTATTTGATATTATATTAGTTTGAAATTTAATTTTACAAATTAATTTTATTTATTTTTTATTTTAACATCTCATTGATTCTTAATTTTATAAAAACAATTTGTTGTATTGCTTGCAAAAACAAAAGATGGAAGAACAAAATAAAAGAATATAGAGTTTTTCTTTTGTGGCTGCTATTTGAAATGTCGGCCTAAAAAATTGGCAAAAATCCTTTTTGATCTTTTAGTTTGAAGGTTTAATATTTTGGTCCATAACTTTAATTTTTTTAATATTTCAATTATTGATTTGTGAGGAAAAAGGAAAAGTTATCGAAAAACTATAAATGAAAGAGAAAATCACGGTTAACTATATTCTCTTCACCTAAAAAATTTGGCAAAAAAAATTATTTACCAACAAAAAAGTCATACTTTGTGTCAATGAATTTGAATTCTATTAAGTGAAGTTTCATTTAGGTTTTTTATTTATTTATCTTGTTGGAAAAGGTAAATTGAGGTTGAGGTTGAGGTTGAGAGAGATTTTATTCTCCCAATTTAATGTGTTTTTAGATAAATTAAGGGGTGTTTTAAGTTAATATATTAGTGTATTGATATTATAAGGATGTTTCTAAATAAAAACAAGTTGAAAAATATATTTTTAAATAAAAAAAATACCAACCCAACTTTTCCACCACCACCTCTGTAATGGTAAAAAACTAAGTATGTAGTGAATACATTTTCTATCTTTATCTTTCTTTTCAAAAATGGGGCATGATAAAAAATAAATAAATAAAAGAAAAGGCAAGACGTAGACTTGAATGCATGTCCCTTTTTTTTACTTTATTTTATAAAAAATTAAATTATATATATGTGTGTATGTTACCCGACCTAAAGGCATTCAATTTTACTTATGATTAATTAAAATAATAAATTAAAAAATATGAATTTTTTAAATAGAATATCTTTTAATTTTTACTTTACTTTTTTGATAAGATTATGAACCTTTTTTTTTTTTTTCTAATGAGAACATTTATTTATTTTTCCATCCTACATTATCTGTTTCTTTTAACTTTATTCAATCATATGTGTATATTTTTATTATCATTAGACTAAATATAAAATTAGTTTTAAAAAATAAAATTATTAAATATAATAGATCAATGGCTCATGTTGCAAGATAAAATAACTTAATTTATATTTATTTCTTAACTTTTTAATTTAGTTTTTAATTAACATTAATAATATTTTTTTTGTATTTATTGTTACATATGATTCTCAATTTATTTAATTAAATATATGGATCATCCTTTTAATTTACAATTAATTTTTTTCATTAAAAAAAAAATTTGTTGGGAACATTTGCACCTTTATTTTCTTATGTTAAAAAAATTAGTCTAGCCTCCACGAAGCGCAAGCAAACTAACTAGTTTCAATCCAAATGTTGTGTTGCATGTTATTTCCAAAGCAAGACTTCATGATATGCGGCACGATGTTATTGTATCAACTATCTGATGTCAGGACCAACTTGAAAAATAATCTAGGTTATTAAATTAACTTGTAAGTCTCGAGTCAATTTAGATCAATTGTTTTGATTAAAATAATAGAGTTTCATATTTTTTTTTTTCTCCTTCTCTTGATTATCAACTCTATCAGGTTGAATTGGTTTGATAAGATCAATATTTGGTTGAATTCAATTAAAAACTCAGTCCGAGCCAGGTTCTCAATCTTGAATTTCCTAAACTAACACATGAAACCCAACCTAATTTAATAACTATGATACCCAATAAGAACGTTAATAGGTCTGTTAAATCAATATATCATGTTAATCTATCACTTAATTAGTGAATCAATATATTTACATATCTTGTTGATATTGTGTAGTTTTGCAATGTGTCTACACACAAACCGCCGTGGATATGATATCATGTGTAGCTTCTTAATGGCTTTTCATTCTACGAGCCTCGGAAGCTCAATACAGAAAAACTAATGCCCAAATCACATCCAATATTATTCCCATTTGAAACTAAGTTTGTGTTGCAATGTGTTTACACTCAAACGAAGTTTTTCACAATTTGACAGCTCTTTTGTTCAAGGAGATTAATAGGGTTTAATATTTTGACTTCGACAGAAACCCGATATCAACTTATTCTCATGAAAATATTCCAACAGGATCAAATGATGGAAGTTGTGGCGCAGGTTCAGGTGCTAGGATGTTTCATTGACATGTCAGTGTCCACTTATCAATGTATCTATAACATGTTCTAAATCAAGAGGAGACTTTCTCAGAACAAGCAGCTCGTAGGTCAGTGATGCGGCTTGCTTTTTTTTTGAATTTTGATTTGAGTTTCAGTAGCAATGAGATTGGCAAATAGTTTTCTTTTTATGTTTGTTGGCTTCTCTCTGTGTGGTACGTCTGTCACCTCGCAGTACCTTACCTGTTCACATGGTACACATAAACTAGCCCGACATCCACGTTAATAAAAAAAAAGGAGACTTTCTCAGACTTAATGTTTCTTCTCAACATAGTGAATAAAATGTCGAACAAGTCTACTTGAACGAATCGGTAGGGTCATGGGCCATGGCTGTTGCACATAAAGTCTTCCTCGTGCTCGGCTAGGGAGACAAACAAGCCTACCTCTAGTGGGAAAAAGTCATTGAATGCCGGCCTCTTTAATTAATCGCTATCTTAGCTTCTTGTAATTTAATGCTGCCCCACACGTCTAATCATGCAACTTCAACGCGTTCATTTCATTTAAACCTTACTTTAATTTTAATTTTAATTTTAATTTTATTAGGGAGGTGTATCATTGTGGGATTATCTTCTTATAATCTCATTCTAATAATTAATCTAATAATCTAAACGTTATATCTCATATATCGTAATCTTATATAATAGATTAAATCATTGGATTAGAATAATTTTTTAACTTTATATTAAAATCATAAATTTAAATCTTATTATACTTATTTTTTTTTAATTAGAATTAGATAATATTATAAATTAGTATTAATCTGCACGTGCAAATTTTAAATTTAAATCACTATAATAATTGTTTTCACAATATTCTTCATTTAAATCTTTTACAAATCTATGCAAGGCAAGTGAATATTTTATATTTTAAATATGTTAATTTTTTTTTATTACTATGAAAAGAAAAATATTAAGAAAAGTATAGCTTAGACACAATACTAATTAATTTGGAGAATAAAATGAAGTTTGTTAATTTTCATTCTCAAAGGTTATTGAATAAAAAAAAATTATGCTAACAAGTGAAATTTATAATCCGGGTAATAAATATAACCATAATGAGTAATCGGGTTGAACAATCTGTCTTTCTTTTTTCTTTCCTTGTTATCTTCCCAATTGGCCCTGATTGAGTCTTAATTGATCCTGGATTAGATTAAATATGCAACCAAATTGAAAAGTTATAAAAAAAAAATTAGAGATAAGATTTTAAAAAATATATTATATTATATTGATCTCATTTAACTTGAGTTAACCTATGAAATTCATAACATAATAAATGGACATGATACTAATTCAATAACCCGTTTGGACAATAGGACTTTTTAATTCTTATCTTTTATTGTCTTCTCAACTAGGCCTTAATGGAGCTTTAATTAGCCATTGGTCAGATGAATTTGGTATTAAATTGAAGAGTTATAAAATAATTGAGGACCAAATAAAAAAAAGACTTAAATATGTGATTAAATTGAAATGACATAAAAGAATTGGGAAAAATAAAAAAACTAACTTGCATGTGTGTTTCAAAAACCAATATGTGAGTTGACTATTAAGATTGAGACGACACATACAGTCTCTTTCATGACTTGATGATAATTTTTTTTGGTGCTGATAAAATTGTTTCGTCAAGCTTTTTTTTAAAAAAGTAGCATTTATGAGTGTTGTACTTTTAAGATGATTTTGATAACTTTTTTTTTCTTTCCTTTTCCTTTCTTGTCTCGAGATTCATGCAACAACAAGAAAAATAAATTGTAGTCGTCCATAATAATTTGTATGTATATGCATGTTGCTTTCTACTATAGAAAAGATCCTTTAATTTTAGTCTTTTATAGTACACATACATGGAACTAAGATAGTAAAATTAGGCATTATATTTTAATTTAAATGATAACATGTAATGAAATTGTATTTTTTTAATTTTAAGTTAAATATAAAAAAATAGATCATTGCTAACAAAGTCTTAAAAAGAGAGGAAATATTAAAGTTTTTATTTTAGTTCTATAACCAATATCAAACATTTTTCATCAAATGAATTTCATAGATACCAAAATCAATTTTTTTTGGTGATTAGAATTGATAAAAATAATGACTTTCTCTCTCTACACAACAATTTGACAATGCTCTT